CCTGAGGGTCCTGAGGTTGAGGGTGAAAACAAAAACGGTATAGGGTTGAGTGTCAATGCATAGATATGTCTGAGGTTGTCACAAGGGGAGCAATATCCTCGAGAGACAAGCTAACCTCAGGCACCTTTTCTCTACCACCTAATCCCACCTTCGTCACTCCCGTCTCAAAAAACCTACAGTAAACTCCCCACACTCCAGTTACCACTCCATTTCCTACCATAAACCATCTCCAACAAGATCAGTATGTTGATTCAGGTATTTTTCCTCTGTTTAGCAGTAAGTAAAAACCTGGTTGTTAGTCAATTGACGGATTGCTTTACGGGGGCTGGTAATTATCTCTTTAAAAAATATATATTTTGGTACTCCACGACTGCTCAATTGGCTGCCGTGTTTCGCCCACAAAATACACAAGTCACTACACGTTACAGTTTATACTGTGGAGCCCTTCAATATATCTTGAAGACGTGATAAGGCGCTATACAAAATGCAAGGATTATTATAACCCCATCACCTCCATCCGCATTCAGTGCTAATGACTAATCCCAGCAGATATCCTTTAAAATCCTCATGTTTACCTGTATGTCAGAAAAAGAACACGCTGTTACTGCCTCATATATGTTTATATTATCACTCAAAACAGTAAAGTAATTGATAATTGCACATGGTATTGTGTCATTATTATTATTACCTCTGAGACCTGGGTTTAAATCTGCCCAGACTAATGAATGGAATTCTCTTCAGCAAACTCTAAAAATGCTATGTGAAATGACTGGTGGGAAGTCTTGTCTCAAGTCACCTAATCAGATCCCTGTACTTACTTTATACACACTTCAATATTCCTCCTCTTCAAGCATCCCAGTTGTTAGTCAAATGGCGGATCGCTTTTCCACAAGTAATCCTTAAAAAAACTAAATTTGTGACTCAATCCAAGACTGTAGGACACTGCTCTGCGCAATTGGCTGCTGCGTTTCACCCACAAAATATACAGTCAATTCACATTACAGTATATTCTGTGAAGGGCTTTGAAACGTCTCGAAGACGTGATAAGGCGCTGTATCAAATGCAAAAATAATTATTATTATCCAACATATCTTTTAAAAGAAATGACAACGGAAATCCACAGTAAAATATCTAAAAACATTAACAAGAAAGAGTTATATAACGTCCTTCATGCAGGCAGCGTCTTGGTGATAAGTGTATTATCGTGGAACCGGTTCAGTTCCAAGGAGACCCCACTTACCTCCCCTTATCCCCAAAGAGAATGGTCATTTGATTTCTGGCGAGCATGGGCTTTTGCAGGTACCTGCAAGCTTCCTGGTGAACAACTTGGTCAGTGAAATTAATAACAATCTTTCATTTGGTGTAACGCCTTTAATGTCAGTACAAGATAAAAAACAACATTACATTTGTATAGCGCCTTTCATGTTGGGAGGACGTCCCAAGGTGCTGGACAGTCAGAGTTTCGGACCCGAGCTGGGGGTTGGGATTGGGGAGGGTGGAAAGCAGGGTGATCGCAGGGAGGGCTTTTAAGGTGAGGACCAGGATCTTGAACTGTATCCTCTGTGTGATGGGAAGCCGGTGGAGTCGGGCGAGGGTGGGGGTGATAGGGTCACGGAGCCTGGTGCGGGATATGCAGAGTTCTGGATAATCTGCAGCCTATGGAGGGAGGAGTTGGGGAGGGCTGACAAGCAAGGAGTTTGCATAGTCAAGCCTCGATGTGAAGTGTTATAGAGATACAATATAAAATGGAGAGGAGAACATTTGGGGGTTTAGCATTTTTAACAGGAGAAGTGGTCAATTTAACTCAGGACAGCCACAGCAGGTTGGTGTGGTCCATGGAAAATGGGGGCTTCGGAGATGTTCTTCTGAGATAGAGACTGAAGCACATTGTAGCAGAGTAGAGGAAGCTTAATTTTGTATCTAATCATTGCTACTATATGACCTGATATATTGATAAACATGAGCATCCCTCACCTTAAATAAGGGAAAATCATGCTCCGGTGATGAATGAAGCAACAATGTAATTTGACGCAATCGATAACATTGTCTCCTTTATTTGCAAATAATTTTTTTAGAAGTTTTTTTTGTGTTAAAATGGTCCTTTTTTGGACGCGCAGGGCCCCCGAGCAGTGATAAGATTTAGTATCATCATCCAGTAAAATGTAAGGGCCCCAAAACCGAACTGCCCCCACTGTTTAGAGACAAGAGAATGAATAGCCTTGAAAATGACAGTGTTATCAATGTGTTCTGCAGCCGGATAAGACGGTGCTCTGATTAAAGTTTCAGACAAATGCAATGGTTTCTCTGTACTGGCACTCAAGGCTGGTCAGGATGACCTACAAGGATGGCTTCAATTGCGTTGAAAGGTTGAGCTTGCTCTAATATGATTCTGCGGAGATGGAAACTGGAACTTCAAACGTAGTACACCCATGGTACTATTCGAAAAGTACCAGTACATACATAATGTGCCAAATAACCTTTTTCTGTGCCGTAGATTTCACACAATTTTATAATAA